TGTCCATTGTGTTTTAGTTGTTGCCGAATTATTACTGCTTTTTTACTCAAATGGGTCAAAAATCTGTGTAAGAAGATATTAACATGCCCTTTAATGAATTTTTTTTACATGTACAACGTCACTGGTTAGTACTGTTTTGCCAAACGTATCATTATTATATTTATTACAACAGCTTGTAAGCAATATTTAAGATCTATCGGACTTGAAGAAAAGGATTATTTTTTCTAAAAATATGTGTAAGGCTACTTCGAATAACTGCTATGGTTGTTGTGTTTCCTTGTAAATTGATAACTTATCATCAAAATGATATATACCAAATTCTATATAATTTGATACAGGGATTCTCTATATAATAATTTCAACCATGACAGGGTGTATTGACCCGCTCATCACATGAAATGTCAGGTAAACTAGCCAGAAACTCATGAATGGTGTATGCCCGGTGAATACCTGTTTAAATGTGTTTGGTTTTAGTAATATGATAAATGCATTTAATTCCCACTCTCAAGACACGGACAAAAGGTTGCTTAACTACAACAAGGATGTTAGGATCAATAAATAATGATGTTCAAACGCTTAAAAGTTATAAATTAATTTATAGTTTTGCATCATAAAAGAAAAGTAAAAGAGATAAATGAATATTACATTAACATAACATACTGGAATGACACATATGCCTGACAATTATTTGCCCTGGTATTCAAAGGACCTGTTTTTTTTTCCTCTTGGTTTATTACATCTAAAATAAACATGATAAAATTTAAACAAATATGCATCTTAACTTTATAGATAACCAAAGAGAAAAATGTTGTGCAATATTTCAGAACATTCATAGTTCAATACGTTTAAAAGCTTTCGGAACTATCTGTTATTAAAGGCCATACTATAATTACTGTATAAACTATAACACAAAACGTATATTATTGAAAAAAAGCAAGAGAATAACATACAACCAGAAGTCAAGATTATACAACTCATCTCTTTCAAAACTATACCAATATTATTTTCTGTCACAAATGTATCTTTTAACTCAGCATTGTCTTGCAAATTTGATATGCAAGATATGTAAATAGATTCTTTAAGAATGTTTACGATTGTTACTAAAGTTGTTCTCTTTTTCTATTTATTGTTTATTTGGAGAAATACAAGAGTGGATTTATTTCAAGATAAAATTCCTTTATAGATTATCGACTTAGATGATTAAAGTTACCTTTCACACCTGTATTGCAATGTGGTTTTATTTGCTTTCCTGTGATTAAAATTCCCTGTGATTGTTATATCCATTAAATGCTTGGTTATGACGTCTTCGTTGTCCACTTCATTTCTGTTGAATGATAAGCAAAAACTGAAGCCAAAGTCACAAATGCTAGCTGATAAAACACAACAATATGTTTCAGTGTAATAGTGTGACCAAAAATTCATCCATATATTCAGAAACATTGGAAAGAGTTACACCATAGTATAATAGACTTAAATTGTCCCCCAAAAAATAGAGTTCTTAAAAATGATCCCTTTGTTAATACAGTGATTTTTATATTTTGTAAGACTATTTGAAGTTCAGTAAAATTATTCTGAATAACAAACAGAGTTATTTTTCAATAATCTGAAGGTATATGTTTTGCTGTGATAGATATTTATTTTCTTTTAATTCTATTGAAACCATTAGGTCATAGGAAGAAGGTAGCATATAGAAATTAGTTGATTTCAAAACTATATATTTTCGATTAAAATAAAATTTCCCATACCTTAAACGTCTAACAATGCAATCAGTACCATTTTTCCGTTTTTTGATGAAGGTGGATCTCACAAACTCTACGAATGGCATATCTAGGGTAAGAAAAGCATATGTATTGCTATGTAGTAACACTAGTTTACTTGTTATAAATTAAAAAACAAATGATGACATCGATGAAAAATACCAACAAACGACCTCTGCACAATAAAATTAACGGTACCAATTTTCTTGCACCAGATGCGCATTTCGACAATACATGTCTCTTCAGTGATGCTCGTTGCCAAATTATTTGAAATCCAAAGCTTATATAAAAGATGAAGAGCTATAATCCAAAAGGTCCAAAAAGTATAGCCAAATCCGTGAAAGAAATCAGAGCTTTGCATGAGGGAGATACATTCCTTAATTTATAATAATTTCTAATATTTTGTAACAGCAAATTTTAATAACACAAAAAAATAGTTGCATATAATATATTTGAACGTTTCAACAGGCGCAAACCTGCACATTACACGTAAAACAGCAGTAAAATATTAAAAGAAAAGACGCACTATAAAAGCAAATAATGGAAAATGGCTTAACTCTGACAAAACAATTAACGAGTTACAAAAAATACAATTATAAACATAAGTATACTTCGCGACACAGTATTAATACAATAATAAAACGCATTTGCAGTATAACATAGACGTTACAGTTAATAATAAAAAAGGAGGACACATGATACAACTATTGCGACAAAATGACGTTAGATAAACCACTTTAAATTTCGCATGTAAAGTCAAATTTAAGTATAATAATTTTGTCGTTGGAAGTACGGAGAAATGGAAATAAAATGTGTTTTAAATGCATTGTTGACTTTCGAAAAGCCTTCGATAAAGTCATGCTCATTGGTAGTATCTATAAACTGCAACTTTATAATACAACTAATTATTTTTTATAGAATATTGACGTCTATGTATACTAATGGTAGGTTATGTATAAAAGTGGATGATAAAATGACTTTTACTTTTTATAATAAAATTGAGAATAAAAATGGGGAATGTGTCAAAGAGACAACAACCCGACCGTAGAAAAATACAACAGCAGAAGGTCACCAACAGGTCTTCAATGTAGCGAGAAATTCCCGCTAATTATAAGTTATTCAAATCATTTTAAAATCACTGATGATAAGTATGGCTAGTGAACATTTCCGAAGGAACAATATTGTACCTTCAACATCATGTGTCATGTTATAGTTGCTGAGTTCTTCGTTGCACACATCAACAGGAATAAAAAGGTTATCATCATTTGTTGCATGCTTATCATTCGTGTGGTGATCAAGTTTGCCACTGTCACCTAAAATTTGTTGTATAAACGTTACAATTAACAAAAAAACGTAATTATTTATAATTAATACTAGTTTATCTGTTAAAATAAAGCTTTTTTGCATCTGAATGTATTTGCCAATTAGAAAAACTTTGCCTCTAATGCTGATTGATATCAATGCAGTAATTATGCAATCAAATTATGTAAAGTAAACTTATATAAATATCACATTTACAATACTTCCTTTAATATTTTTCTTTTTCAAAAACAGTCTACAGTGAAAAAACGTAAAACGATTTAAGGTAGATCATTACTGAATTTTTTTCTCAGACATAATTTTCTTATACATAGCCACAATTTAGTAGAAAATCAAAAGAAAAAGGGTGAAAATAAATCTCGTTTTCTTGCGAAAAATGGAAATTTCATTATCATTCCTTTAAAGAAAATTCACCAAATAAGTTATCTTCCGTTAATTAGCTCAGTTGACAAATTGAATCAAACAAAGACTGATAGCCGGTTTTTACAATAACACTTATTTTTTCAATGATATAATGCACTTATTTACATTTATCAAACAAGAGTTTTAAAAATGAATAGCATTTATGTCTCAAAATTTGCAGTTTTAAATAAAGAACTTTGTCGCTTGTGTGCTGTTATTTTACAATTCAAGATGGCGATATACAGATATATAGTGATGATCTACCTAATTCAAAGATATAAGGCTTAAAAATGTGTTCCGTCTACGTAAGACTCATTAGGGTCGCTCCTATCGAAAATGTGAAAATGCCTAATGAAGAACAAAGTTAAAGTAAACTTATTTCATTTCGTTTTGCCAAAAACAATTTGATAAAATATCAAATATATAAATATGGACATTTTACTGATTCTATGGTATTTATCCCTTTCTGAGCACAATATTGATCAACATTTTACCAAACGTGGGTCATTTGATCGAAGTCCTTCCTTATTCGAAATATAATAATGACGACAAATATTTTGCTTTCCTCTGAATTTTATATAATGACGTCATTGGAATAGGTGATCATGCCCGATGAAGTCAGACAAGAAGAGCATGACTTTTTGTAAATAATCTAAACAAATTATCAAATTTTATTGGAATCATTAGATTAACAGATTCCACAACTATATCTCGTGTTATAAGATATTTCCCAACTATCAACCGTAGACATTATTTTTTTAACATAGATTTACATATGCGTTACTTTAAACTATAACTGTAAAGGTATCTCTTTATGAGAGATAATCATAAATTATATAATTTCTATTATCAGTTACCTTTTGGCTGGAGTGACTGGTAGTGGTTTTCGAAAATGTGCCCAAGAAGAATAGGATTACCGGAAAAACCATCACAACCAGTTATCCAAAGGACACTATCCTCATTATTGGTACTGGGAGCACTGGTGACAATAACTATGTCTCTCTGTAGCATTCTGGACATTCCAATGACCACAACATGGTCTGCGTACTCTCCATTCTGTAACATCCTGTCACAGTAGTCCGGAAAATTGTCTTCAACGAAGTTTTCTAATAACACAATGCCTTGACTGCCCTATTGATTGAAAGAAAGCTACTTACATAAGTCTTTATTAACTACTGTACATTGAAATTGATTAATACAAAACAAATACTTTTATAACTACATTTTATCAAAAATCAACGTCAATTCCAAATTAATATTCTGTCGGAAGTATTTTTGATGGTATTTGTGTGTTAATAGCTTCTTAACTGATTTAAATCATATATTTAAGTTGTGCTGATGCGCCACTAACGTTGCCAACGGTTTTGATTTGTCCCCTGAAAACATGTCCAACTAATTCTTTATGTTTCTGTCCATGGAGGAGTTTGATAATTAGTGAATGTATTTAACAAGTAAATTAGTTTACCTCAAAACTAGGATGTGTTGATATGTAGTTTACAACATTTGTTCTTAGTTGTTCGGGAGCAATAACGTCTGCGCCAATTCTATCTAGCTGGCATGTGATTGCTTCAAAAAAACAATTCCCATTCCCTGGTGTTTGACCTCTGTATTCTAAGCCATGGGATGAACAGTTCCTCTTAAGTCTCTCAACTATTAATGTTTGTTCCTCGTTTGAAGCTATGGATTGCTTTATAGCAATTTGTAGTTCATCAGGTGTTTGGAATGATTTCCCTTAATATTAGAATATAAGGTTAAAATTTCTTCACTTCAAATTTACAGCTAAATGACATTGTTTATACATACTTATGTGTATTCAATTGTAATAAAAACGTATCATTGAAAATATTACTTGTTTATTCAGGGATCATTTGACAGATTTGTTAAGAGTTATATGATTCTGGGTAAACTCTGAATTTTACAATAAAATATGAATTATGATTCTTTCATTTCTTTGTGAGGTTGTTGACATTCACCTCTTTAGAATTATAAATTAACTTTTTCAGACCTTCTGCTCTGAAATATTTGTATCACAAAAGTCTGACATTTTTGGCTATTCATAAATTTATTCAAAAACAATATTTGACTTTGTTATTCATGATTATTGAAAGCAATGATAATATGCTGGTGGTTGACTGGTTTTGTGTAAATTATTTTGTTTTGAATTAAACAAATAAAATGAAGATACAGAACCAAAAACATTCTAAAATTTGAATGATGGCAGCAACTAGATGCATGTAATTGGTATTGACATTTTGTTTTAGAAAATGTGTGTGTAGGTGTGTATGTGTGTTGGTGTGTTGGTGTGTGTATGTGTGTTGGTGTGTTGGTGTGTATGTGGGTGTGGGGAGGTAAAAATTTGATATGAATCCTTTCTTTTTACTAATAAAGGGCATCATAAGAAAATTGAAATAAAACACTGATCAGTATTAAGTGAACTGCCAAAGTGTGTTATGTACACTAGTTTTGAGATAATAAACAAATGATAAAGTAAGGAATAAACCGCAAACCAATTCCGTGGAATGATGTTTGTCTTGTTCCCGATTTTGTGTTTATTGTCGTGGCTTTGTCAATTTGGTTATGACAAGTGGATTTGATTAAGTGCCTTTTGAATTTTCTGTTTTTCAGTTTCCAATTTGCGTGCCAACAGATATATTCAACTACAAAAGTCTACAGTATTAACATAAAAATAACACTACTGTGTTATAAATGTATATCTATAATATAATACAGATAAAGAAATAAATCACCTGATGCTAAGCATATCTTTTCTTTCATCTCATTTGCTTTTTCTGTTAAGGTTTGTGCGTGGCGAAGAATATACTGTTTTGAATTTGTATCACATGCTAAAATGGTAGGGAAATATAATATTTGTGCGTGTAATTTCCTAGAATAAATCATATTTTTTCAATTTGCATATGTACACAAAAAAACAAAAACAGTAACAATTTTCGATTTGTTGGAATAAGATACTAATTTTGAAACACTTTTAAAAAAAATATATACGCAGTCGCTGAGCCATTACAAATTGGCCAAGGATAATTGATCGTAGCTGAATAAAGTTTTAAAAAAATGAAGAGCATATTATCCATGCCATCGGTCGTTGTAAAATATTTAGCATAAAAGGTCAATCCGTGGTAAAATCAGTATAAATTCAAGCCTAAATGAATTATTTCTCAATTGTATGATCTAAACAGCGTAATCTATACAATACTGTATGAAAAATATCACGACATTTGTGGCGGTTTGGGCATAAATGAGAAAACACAATTCATACCCAATTCTCTGGCTTTTTTCTCCAAAGAGGTTGCCTCAATATATATGGCTTCAATCTGTTTTTTAACTTCTTCCTTTTCTTCATGTCGCAATTCATGGAGGTCTTCCAAATTAAAGTTTTCCAAACCTGTAAGATATGGAAATGGCGGAATAAATAACGATGTTTCAAATATACACCGCGATAATGTATCATAATTTGACATTCCTTAACTATAATTTTGGAATTTGTGCAGTTTTTCTAGTTTTTGAAGTATTTGATTTGTACTATCAACCCTACGTTTCGAATTCTGATTTTAGGAATTGAATATTGGTCTTTATATGACCTCTACTATGATTAATGAAATAATTATGTTTGAAACTGTAACCATTACCTCCAAAATCGCCTGTTACACCTGTCATATTTCCTCTATTTAATTCACGAACAAAAAACCCTGTAATGAGAATGTGAAATATATCATATTTATTTTTAAAATGTCAACAAAATCTTTTTTTTATTAATTGTATATAACCGGAGAAACCATGAGACCCCTTAAAAGTCATATAATTATATATAGGATGAACAGATTTAACCAAAATGAATTGCAGTTCAGGGTAATAAGAGGTTGCCTAAGACATTATTTGCGTCAGATTACCAAAAGTAAATAAATTATAGGATGGGTATCCAGAGATATCCATAATCATTATCTGTTTATGATGAGCAATATTCATATTCAATATAAATGTTGCGGGAAGTGTTAACCAAATTTAACATCTGGATAGTGTGAAACGAGATAATCGATGCCAATAAAGATTCATTAATTATGAATTGTGACCAGAACCTAAAGTTAATACCTGTGTATGGTGACCAAAGGTAACCACATTCCAAATCTGTAAAGGGTGACCAGAGGTAATTTAAGTAAATATATGTATACGATGACCGGAGGTAATCTCATTCAATAATATGAAAGGGTTACCCAATTCGAAATCTGTGTAGGGGGGCCAGAGGTAAACATATTTAATATCTGTGTAGAATGACCTGAGTTAACCACATTCAATATCTTTTAAATTGACCAACGATATTCATCTTATGAACTGTCACCATAGTTAACATAAGCCAATTTATTGTAGGGTGACCAAAAGTAACCATTTTCAATATCTGTGTAGGATGACCAGAGGTAACCATAGCCAATATCTGCGTGGGTGACCAGAGGTAACCATATGCAATATCTTTGTAAGGTGACCAGAGGTTACCTTAGTCAATATCTGTGTAAGGTGTCCAGAGGTAACCTTATTCAATATCTGTGTAGGGTGACCAGAGGTAACCATATTCACAATTTTGGTAGGGTGACCTCTGGTCACCCTATTTAATATCTTTGTAAGTTGACCAGAAGTAACCATATTCAATATTTTTGTACGGTGACCAGAGGTAATCACATTCAACATCTTAGTAGTGTGACCAGAGATTACCAAAATAAACATCTTAGTAGGTTTAATAAAAGTACCTACATTCAATATTTATGCATGGTGTCTAAAGATAAATAATTTTATATATGTGTATGGTGACCCGAGGTAACTACATTAAGAAAATGCAATTGCTATATATTTTTGTTGACAATGGCAACATAATTTAATATATGTGTACATCGACCAGAAGTTGCTATATTAATAATAAAAGTAGCGTAAAAAGTGTGAACCGGGATAACCGATGCTAACCAAATACATTATTTATGAATTGTAACCATAGGTAACATAAGCCAATTTATTGTAGGTTGACCAGAGGTTACCATTTTCAATATCTGTGTAGAGTAACAAGAGCTAACCATACTCAATATATTTGTAGGGTGACCAGAAGTAACCACAATCAATATCTTTTTAGATGACAAAAAAAACCATATCCAATATCTTTGTTAGGTGACCAGAGGTAACCATATTCAAAGTTTTGGTAAGGTGACCAGAGGTTACCATGTTCAAAATATGTGTAGGGTGACCAGAGGTAACCATAGTCAATATATGTGTAGGGAGACCAGAGGTTACCACATATAATATCTTTTTAGGTGACCAAAGATAACCATGTGCAATATCTTTGTAAAGTGACCAGAGGTAACCTTATTCAATATCTGTGTAGGGTGACCAGAGGTAACCATACTCAAAGTTTTGGTTGGGTGACCAAAGGTAACCTTATTCAATATATGTGTAGGGTGACCAGAGGTAACCATATTCAAAGTTTTGGTTGGGTGACCAGAGGTAACCTTATTCAATATCTGTGTAGGGTGACCAGAGGTTACCATATTCAATATCTTTGGAGGGTGACCAGAGGTAACCACATTCATCATCTTGGCAGTGTGACCAGAGGTAACTATATTCAAAGTTTTGGTTGGGGGACCAGAGGTAACCTTATTCAATATCTGTGTAGGGTGACCAGAGGTAACCATATTCAATATCTTTGGAGGGTGACCAGAGGTAACCACATTCATCATTTTGGCAGTGTGACCAGAGGTAACCATATTTAAAGTTTTGGTTGGGTGACCAGAGGTAACCTTATTTAATATATGTGTAGGGTGACCAGAGGTTACCACATTCAAAAAAGGCAATTGCTATATATATATATGTGTGTGTTGACAATGGCAACATAATTCAATGTATGTGTACAGCGACCAGAAGTTGCTATATTAATTATAAAAGTAGCGCAAAAGTGTGAACCGGGATAACAGATGCTAACCAAATACATTATTTATGAATTGTAACCATAGGTAACATCAGCCAATTTATTGTAGGTTGACCAGAGGTTACCATTTTCAATATCTGTGTAGAGTAACAAGAGCTAACCATACTCAATATTTTGTAGGGTGACCAGAAGTAACCACAATCAATATCTTTTTAGATGACAAAAAAAACCATATCCAATATCTTTGTTAGGTGACCAGAGGTAACCATATTCAAAGTTTTGGTAAGGTGACCAGAGGTTACCATGTTCAAAACATGTGTAGGATGACCAGAGGTAACCATAGTCAATATATGTGTAAGGAGACCAGAGGTTACCACATATAATATCTTTTTAGGTGACCAAAGATAACCATGTGCAATATCTTTGTAAAGTGACCAGAGGTAACCTTATTCAATATCTGTGTAGGGTGACCAGAGGTAACCATATTTAAAGTTTTGGTTGGGTGACCAGAAGTAACCTTATCCAATATATGTGTAGGGTGCACCGTGACCAGAGGTAACCATATTCAAAGTTTTGGTTGGGTGACCAGAGGTAACCACATTCAATATCTGTGTAGGGTGACCAGAGGTAACCATATTCAAAGTTTTGGTTGGGTGACCAGAGGTCACCCTATTCAATATCTTTGTAGGGCGACCAGAGGTAACCATATTCAATATCTTTGGAGGGTGACCAGAGGTAACCACATTCATCATCTTGGCAGTGTGACCAGAGATTACCAAAATAAACAGCTTACTAGTAGGTTTAATAAAGGTATCTACATTCAATATTTATGTATGGTGTCTAAAGATAAATAACTTTATATCTGTGTATGGCGACCCGAGGTTACCACATTCAAAAAAGGCAATTGCTATATATATATATATATATGTGTGTGTTGACAATGGCAACATAATTCAATGTATGTGTACAGCGACCAGAAGTTGCTATATTAATTATAAAAGTAGCGCAAAAGTGTGAACCGGGATAACCGATGCTTACCAAATTCATTATTTATGAATTGTAACCATAGGTAATATAAGCCAATTTATTGTAGGTTGACCAGAGGTAATAATTTTCAATATCTGTAATTGTTTACCAGAGGTTACCTTTTTCAATATTTGTGTACGTTGATCAGAGGTTACCACGTTCAATTTATGACCGAAGTTTACAAAATTAAATATTTAAGTAGGCTAACTATAGGTAACCAAATTAAATATTTATGCACGGTGACTAGAGGTAATCAAGTTTTCTATCTGTGTAAGATAAGAGGTAACCACATTCAAAATATGTGAAGGGTGACCAGAGGTAACCCAATTCAGTATTTGTGTAGGGTAACTTGAGGTATTAAAAGTTCATATATGTATAGGGTGACCAGAGGTCACCAAATTCAATATTTTAGTAATTTATGTATGATTAATCATATTAAAACTCTTGCACAGTCATCAGTACATTTTCATTATTACCGGACTTAAGAAAGAACTCACACGATGGGAGCGTTCAAGACATGATTAAGAAGATTCCTGTTGTTCCTTACTTTTTTAATGTTGTTGTAAATTTCTTTTGGTATATCTGTTTACTCCTTGGTTTTGATTGTATTTGTCTTAGTAGGGTGACCAGAGATTACCAAAATCAAGACATATTTAGGGTAACAAGAGGTAGTTAAAGCCAGTATATAGGTTTTGAAACCGAACATAACTCAATTAAAAGTATTCGAAAGATGTCCAGATATAACCGTGATCATTATCTGTGTAGGATGGCAAGTTTATAACTAATTCAAACATCTGTGTTGGGTGACCAGAGGTTTCCATATTCAGTATATGTGAAGGGTGACCAGAGGTAACCATATGCAATATCTTTGTAAGATGACTAGAGGTAACCTTATTCAATATATGTGTAGGGTGACCAGAAAGAACCATATTCAAAATTTTGGTAGGGTGACCAGAGGTCACCATATTCAATATCTTTGTAGGGTGCCCAGAGGTAACCATATTCAACATCATTGTAGAGTGATTAGGGTTAACCATATACAACATCTTGGTAGGGTGTCCATATATTACCAAATTAAACATCTAAGTAGGGTTATTAAAGTTAAATAAATTCAATAGTTATGCACAGTGTCTAAAGATAAAAAATAGAATATATGTGTAGGGTGACCAGAGGTCACCACAATTAATTATGTAAAAGGTGACAAGGTGCAACAAAATTCAATATCTGTGAAGGCTTGCCGGGTTGACAAGAGGTAACCAAATTCAATATCTTATAATGTTTATTGCAATTCAATACATGTGTTGGGTGACCAGAGGTCACCACAATTAATTATGTAAAAGGTGACAAGATGTATAGAAATTCAATATCTGTTTAAGGGCCATTCAATATCTATATCTGTGTCAAATAATTAGAAGAACCACTGTAAATTTATCTGCAAAGGAAGTAAGGTTAATAAAGTTA